TTTTGGGGGCGGGCAAGTTAGTGCACGGAGAATCCACCTCGGATTATTAAGTCTTTGGGGCACGTGGCATCCCTCGTGCGGGGCCAACTGGGGGCCAAAACGCGACGGGGCTCTTAGTTTGTACGTCACGTACGGCAAACACCGGCCCCTTGACAAGTCGTACAGTGTGTTGGGGAAGCTCATCGACGGATTACGAGACGCTCTCGGCCATGGAGCGCCCGCCGTGCAACGAGAAGCACCGGGCGCTCTCCGAGGGGGGGGGCCCCAGCCGCCCGCCACCGCCGCCACCGGCGCCACCCTCGCCATGGTAGCCGGAGCTTCCGCCGCCCGCCGCCGCCCGCCGCCGCCGCCGCCGCCGCCGCCGCCGCCACCGCCGCCGCCGCCGCCACCGCCGCCGCCGCCGCCGCCGCCGCCGCTACTGCCGCCGCCGCCGCCGCCGCCGCTATGACACGTCTCCTGCGTTCTGACTGCAAACTGCGACTGAGCCTTCCCGCGTCCGCGCTCTGCAGATAAGGCTCGAGCACGTGACGATACACGCCAACCCGCTCGCCGACCAGATGATCACCTTCCCGTCAGCCACGGGCGCTCCCGACGTCCAAACGTAAGGATCGTAGCGCTAGCCGTTAATAGGGTTTCCATGATTTAGAGCCGTCTGGAAAAATGACTCGCTCCCATGTCTGTGTACTGTGAACGGGTAGAGGGTAGTCTTCCCCCCCCTCCCAGGCGCAGGGCCTCCAGCGTCCAGGGCTCGCACCTCAACCTCTCACAGACCAGCGCACAGCGCCATGGTCCCGGAGGTATTTTCTTCTCAAACAAGGCGCGCGCCAGTCCCGTGCCCAGAGTCGTGCAGGTAGGTAGGTAGAAAGGTGAAGAACAGCCAGGCTCGGACTGGACACCAACGCGGTATGGGTGGACGCTAGACAGATGATGACGACACGCACGAGCGACACACAGACACAAACAAGCTCACAAGACACACAGCCAGCGGGCTGCCACACACCCTGAGTCGGCTTACACATAACTGAGGGAGTTTTGTTAAAAAATATAGTAAGGGGAGGGCTCCCAGGGCTTGGAGGTCTTTTTAGTTGCAACCATGATGATAGGCAAGGCGTTCAGGAAAGTGAAAGAAGAGGACATGGTTCGACCTCGCGTGCGAGATGTGTGTCGCGACCCCTCGTCGCGGACACCTCCCGACACGGTGTGAAGACAACAGTCAACACAACTCCTCTCTCGACCGCTACTACGCCGCCGCTCTTCTCACTGCGCAGCTCACGGCTCTCCCTCCTGTTCCTCCTCCTCCGCCTTCGCCGCCTCCTTCGCCTTCTTCGCCGCCTCCTCCGCCCGCTTTGCGGCCCTCTCCGTCGGCGTCAGTTTGACGAACTTGACCTCGTCCTCCTTGCCGATCACGGCCTTGAACTCCTTGTGGTAGAGGCAGGTCACCGACCTCACACCCTTCGTCGTCTTGGTGAGGTTGTGGTCCTTTGAGCCGCAGAGCGCGCAGCCGTACTCCCGCTTAGAAGCCGGCTGCAGCGGCTGCAGCGGCGGCGTCCCCGGCGGCGTCTGCGGTCCGGCCTGGGGGGGAGGGGGGGGCGGTGGAACCGCACAAGGAGTGAGGGGGGGGGGGGCGACAGTCGCGCGTGGGGTGGGAGCTCGGGTGGGGTTGAAGCGCGGCGGGTCGGGTCGTGTCGGTTGCGGCCGGGCGGGGCGGTCCGGGGTGGGGCGCGTACCGCCGTCTCCGCCGCGTCCGCCGCCGCTTCGAGCTCGTTCGCCTCAGCGTCTGCCGCCTCCTTGAGCAGCTGCGCATCGCCGATAACCTCACCGTACTCGCTCTCTCCACCTGAGCGCTTCACCACCTTATCCTCCTGCTTGAAAACCCACTTCGCCTTCGCCGCGGCGGCGGCGACGCTGGCCTGCGCGACTTTTCCGCCGCCGCCTGTTGCGCCGCCGCCTCCTCCTTCTTGGCCAGCTTGGCATCCGCCTGCTCCAGCAGCTCCGCACGCATCAACGACGACGCTGCATAGGACGACGCGGCGATTTGGCCAGACAGCGTCTTGAGCACAGCTCGTGGTTGTCCTTGGCGGCCTCGCTGATCGTCTGATGACCAGGGCAGCGTCGAGCGTGTGGGGCGTGTGACCAGCTTCCTCATTTTCTCCACTGGTTGGGTTTCACTGCCATCCTCGTTGGGCCATTCGTAGTATAGAGTCCACTCTCGAACGTCCCGCGTTGGACGTTGGAGGATAAGTGAGTACCTGTGTGCCAGGAGAAACCCCGCTGCAGGTCCCACACTACGCTAGTCCTAGTATAAGAGCTCATCTATCTGGCAACCGTGCAAGCAAACTCATCACACATCAGTAAATATATACACAGATACACAGGCTGTGTGTTTCACTTCTCGGCTTATTCCCACCTCAGAGATACCATGCTGCGCACATTTCTTACCTACACCACGCTCATCGTCTCCACTCTCTAGCGTGCCAGTCACGCTGCTCTCACGCTCACTCTCCGGCCGCATGACACCACGCTACACGCCGGCGCTAATAGACGTCTTCCTAACGTCTTCACTCTATGGCCTCCGCGTAGCCCGCCCAAGGGCTCAGGACCTTCATGTAGTGGCCCGCGCGGAACTGCTCTGGCACGCCCACGAGCGGCGTGGTGATCGTCGGGCTCGTCACACGCAGCACCGAAGGGTTGCCCTCTGCGGGTGCGACGCGCACACGCGACTCGATGTACAAGCCGCCTTTGTTGCCAAGCGGCCCGTCCGGAGCGTCCAGCAGCTCGCGGTCGCCCGTCAGCTCGAGGCGCAGCGGCTCGCCGGTGGAGCGGGCGGCGCAGAGCGACGGGGGAGGCTGCCACCCGCACGCGAGCTGGTTGACGCGCCTCGCCGCCTCCAAGTCGGGCGCATCCCCCTCTCGTGCCGCCAAATCATCGAGGGCTGTCCCGCCGAGTGCGGCGGCGACAGCCTCCCGTCGCTTGAGCTTGAGGCAGATCGTCGGGCCGGCCAGCGGACCGCTCTCCGTCCCGGCGGCGGCGGCGAGTTCGTGCACATAGGTGTACACCCCCTCCGGCGTGTTGGCCAGCGGGCGGTCAAAGGACCGCCAGTCGGGCTCTGCGAACGCGTGCGCGCGCACGAGCACCTCCGGCTTGCCAGCATCGCCGAGCACCTCCAGCCCGGGCTTCGCCGCCATGAAGCTGCCAAAGTCGCGATGGACCGTCACCTAGGACGGCTCGGCCCCGCGCTTGAGGCGCGGTCACAGCACTCGGGGCGACGGCAGCGTGTGCCGCGCGTCCGCCTCGACACTCAGCGAGCGGTGCTCGCCCGGCTCTGCGGCCCCGGCGGCCGGCACGCCGGCGACCACGCGCTGGGCGGTCTCGCCGAAGCGGCGAAGGTCCTCCTCTGCGATGGCGGCCGGAGGGGGGGTGCGACGATTGAGGGAGGGAGAGAGGGAGGGGGGGGGGGGGGGCAAAAAAAAGGGAGGGAGGGGAAAAAGGGGGGGGAAAGGAGGGGGGGGGGGGGGGGAAAA